CAAAGTTGCCATTTTGCTGCTGCGCGCCAAGAGGGAAGGACAGCCCCTGTTTCTCCGTGGGACCGACTCACATTGGCAAGTTTTCCTCGGGGGGCGTTGGGGTATGGCCTTCCCCCACACGCTTGTTGCTCAGCCATAGAGAGGAGGCTGGGGAATGGGAAGGCTGCCACGGGCCTGGACAGCTGGGCTCTGAGTCCACCTCTGAAAACCCCGAAGTGGGTCCCAGGTTGGTAGAGGAAGGACGGAGAGCGCGGGAGTAGACGGGCGGGAGGAATAGGAGGTGGACACCACGGCAGCCTGGCTTCTTAGGTCCTGTCGTTTTCAGAATGACCAACGTGTCCCTGGGAACCCAGAGAAACCTAGACCAAGTATCCAGCTTATGAACGTCTTCCCTTTTCCCACCCCAACTCCGTGATGGGAATAAGTCACAGTGGCTGAGGGCCCTGGGCGCAGGGGAGGCCTCCAGCTCAGGGTTTGATGGTGAAGCATTTAACGAAGCTCAGGACAGATCTGGTGAGCACCATGAACATCTTCCTGGGAGCAGGTTCTGTCGTCTGTCTAGGAGCGGCCGGTTAGTGGCCCTCGAAAAACAAGAACGGAGGCACATTTATACCCCATTACAGCTGGAGTGTAGTGGACCGCTAACTCCTCAGGAACTTGGTAACATGGGTGTTCATCGTGGTAACATGCCTCTGCAAAGCTAGGATAAGGCTACGCCCTGCTGGAAACCACCCTGGCTTGGAGTGGAGACCAGGGCTCACATTCTGGCTCTGCCCCTCTAGGAAGCCAGATTGGGAGACTTATTAAAACTCCCCGTTTGCCCCTCTCTGGCTCCGGAGCTTGTTAATGCCTCGTTCCTGGTTCCCAAACATCCCTCTGTGGATTTCACTCCTAGTCCAAGACGAAGCTTCCAGAAGCCTGTGTTGAAAATATGACAATGATAAAACAAACAATGTAGTCGAATATGTTCCATTTAAAGGCCCGTCTTTTGTTCTGCAATTATGTCCTTTCTAAGTGTTCCAGGACAGACTGACTTAATTTAACTTGAAACATTTAACTTAACCTATTTAAGTATTAAAACCCCCTTTTGTAAAATGACAGTGAAAACAGACCATAATCATTAGTCATTTTTTTATTAGATTTTATTTTGTATTCTAATTTGTTATACATGACAGCAGAATGCATGGCAGTTCGTATTACACACAGAGAGCACATTGTTTCATATCTCTGTACACAGTGTATACAGAGGTCACCCTATTTTGGTGGTGGTGATGTTGCTATAGAAGTCTGTGAGATCCAAATCTGAGAGTCACCCACTGGCCTGGCTCATAGTTTGTAATAGGAAATGAAATAAGATATAGAAAGTGTATCACTTCAAGGACAGGGACACTCCAACGTAAAGCACTATTTTAATCATTACTTCAAGCCGTAATTCTCTGGTAGGATGTTCCTACAGATACATGGAGGCCCCGGGGTTGGAGACTTGAACCCCACTGGTTTATTTTCCATTTTTATTGATTTGTTCACTAAATTGTCACAAGCAAAATAAAACAGAGAGAGAATGGAACATTCTTCCTTGATTTAGATTTCTCCCTGCTCCAGGGGAATATCTGGCTCCTCTAAGCTTTCATTGTTGGAAGGCACGTCCCTTCGCTCCTCTGAAGTCTCTCCTTTACAGCACAGTTGGCATGTTCAACGCTCCTTTCAAGTGGAAAGATGCTGTCTTAAGCTAGTTTCTCTTCTTCAATTAATGCAGATAACTAGACACAGAACAACAAGAGCCAGGCATGGTGGCTGGGATGCTGAGGCAGGGGGATTGCCAAATTCAAAGCCAGCCTCAGCAAGACCCTGAGCAACTTAGTGGGACCCTGTCTCAAAATTTAAAAATAAAAATGAAAAGGGCTAGGGATGGGAATGTGGTTCAGATGTTGAGTGCCCTGGGTTCATTCAATCCCTAGTACTGGGGGCGGGGGGCAGGGGGGACGCCACTGGAACAATCCTAGCATAGCAGGATAAAGCACACAGCTTTGTTTGGTTTTACTGTGGAAATTACTAGTGTAGTGGTTAGGAGTAGTAAAAAAAAAGGGGGGTGTTGGTAGTGGAAATTACTAGTGTAGTGGTTCTTGTGTCATGAATATATAAAATTCATAAGACAAGAAGCACCCAGTTTATATTTTTTATCTCATACAAAATAGCTGGTTTGAGGTAGATTTACTATCCTTCTTGGTACCCACCACTGCTTTGCGAGTTCTTACTATGATGATGCTGATAAAGGAAGAGGACTGGAGTTCCCTGGACGTTGCTAGTACTGGTATTGGATGCACTCACATAGAGAACTTTGGATCTGTTTGTTTGTAACAGGGATAGAACCCAGGGGCACTCTACCACTGAACTACATCCCCAGACATTTTTATTTATTATCTTGCTAAATTTCCCAGGCTGGACTTGAACTTGCAATCCTCCTGTCTCAGCCTCCAAATTGCTGGGATTACAGGCATGCACCACCATGCCCAGCTAGAATTTCAGATCTCAAAATGATTATCATCAGGCTGGGGCTGGGGCTGTACACTTGCCTCACACAGGTGAGGCACTGGGTTCGATCTTCAGCACCACATATAAAAAATAAAAAATAAATATATTTACAACTAAAAAATAATTTTTAATGATTACCATCAGTTCTATATGCTGGTGTCTATGGAACTCCCACATTGTAAAGTGCTTTGTTCTGTGTTGTGACGGTTCATGGAGGAGGGAGCCAAAATGATTCTAGCCATCCAAGACTTTTGGATCCTACGTGGGGAAACAAGACTGATGGACATGGTTTTGAGAGCATGTACTCACCACACACATTTCTAAGAGTGTGGATAAATACTCATAGAAACCCAAAACAACCAATATGGTCCAATACAGGTAAGGCTGACCAAACTGAAGTTTAAGTAAGATACCAATAATAAAGCATTAGATTTAGAATACATTAAAACAAGATTTGACCTTACAGGAGAAATTATAATGATTAGTGTTTTAACATAAATTTTAGATCGAACTGTTGGATAAGAAATGGACGTTTTCCCAGCTGTCACCAATGGGCTTCACTCTGGGACTGCTTACCCAATTGTGAGGTTTCCCGCCTGTTTTCTGGATTTTTAGGGAAGAGCTGACAGTTTACAGAGCAAACACTAGATTTAACTATAGCATGAGTGAATTAAAAGCAGGTACCTGTGGCTGGGATTCTAAGCTGCTGGTTCTGAAGACCTCCTACTCTCCATTCCACACGCCTACAAGGAATTCCTCCCAGTGCCAATTCATGCCACAGCTGCCCTGATCTTTTCAGGACAGAACTACTATAGAATACCTTACCTGATTGGGAATCTCTGGGATTCTGAAAGGAGTAATACCCCCTGATCTCCAAAGTAGACAGATGGGCATAGCATAAGATGTGCATACAGGCTGGGCATTGCCTATTCCTGCAGCCAGTGTGCTATCACCAGGTTCTGTCTGTCCAAGTTCCGAACGACAGGGTGGAAGGAGGCTTTAAGATGCCACTTTGCTTATCCATCACCAAAGTTGAAAATTATTACTAATTTAAGATACCATTTTTTACCACTCTTTCAAGTGTTTAACAAATATCACTATCAGTAAAAGCAGCAGGCATACCCCTTCAGTCCCATGTGCTCCTTATCCTATGTGGTGGGGCATGGCAGGAAGATCATGTTTAAAAGGGATTCTTTTCTATAGACCAAAATTTTAGCTCTATTAAAACAACCATATGCTGGGAAATGGTATTGGCCAAATCATACCTTTATGTTGTGTGCATGTGCAAATATGTAACAACAAATCCCACCATTATGTACAACTATAGTGCACCAATTTTTTAAAAAAAGGAAAAAAATAAGCATATGTTACAGACCCTGAAACCTTTTCCCTCTGTGGGATGTTGAAAGTGTTCCCGTGGGCCTGTCTCAACCTGTAACATGACTCCTTCCCAAAGCACTCTTTCTGTTCTTTGGATTTAAAAGAGTAATAATAAAAATATACTGCCCTCAATTTGTAAAACTATTAAGAAGCCTTTTCAGATTTCAACCTCTAGAAGAGAAAACATAAATTAAGAGCACAGAAGCCAGAGAACTGTGTGGCTCTGATGGCAAGCAGTGTTTCTAGGTGGTGTAGTGAAAAGGACCCAGCTTTGGGGATCAGGCACAAACGACTAGTGTTTAGCTGTCTCATCTTAAACAATCTGTTTAGCCTCTCAGAGCCTGTGTTTCCCCATGTGTTGGAATCGAATCAGTTAGAAGGCACTCACCAAACTCTAAGTGCTAGCACGTGGGCCAGGCATTGACCGCCCAGGAGTAAGTAATGAACACGGCCCCTGTCATCATGGAGATCAGCCTAGCAGGGCAAATTAAATAATGTAATGCCAAAGGCCTGTCCCACAGAAGGTGTTTGACAAATGTCACTTCTACCCATTTCCCTTCAAGCATAAGATCATTAGAAATTCCCACGCAGTGAAAAGAAAGGTGGCTGTAGATAACATCATACACATTTTGTCGGGCACCCAGACACCCATGGGGTATTGTTTGCAGTGTTATGTCTCATGAACCCTCCGTTGACACATGACCCTGTTTAAATCCATCTGACCGTGGGTCTCTATGTATGGCCCACAGGAAATCCTGATTTTGGGGGTGGAATTCAGGGAATCACATAGATATTGCCTCTTGGATCCTTTCAGAGTATCTGTGAAATGGATGAAAACATAGGGTCATCCAACCCGTTCTGTGTAGAGCTTAAAGCCCATTTTACAGCGGAGCTGATGCTCCTTTTGTCCTGGGGCGCAGGAGGCCTGGGAAGCCATGGGAGCAGGTTCTGTCGCCCTGTGGTCCCCTGTGCCTGTGTGCGCAAAGGAAGCCTGCGGTGCCCCTGCAGCAGCTCCGAGGGAGCGGGAGGGAGCGGGAGGGACGGGCCCAGTGGCCAGGGGCTCAGCCTTTGCCTTCCCCGCAGGTGGCCAGCATGGGCGACTGGAGCTTCCTGGGCAACATCCTGGAGGAGGTGAACGAGCACTCGACCGTCATCGGGCGCGTGTGGCTCACGGTGCTCTTCATCTTCCGCATCCTCATCCTGGGCACGGCCGCCGAGTTCGTGTGGGGCGACGAGCAGTCGGACTTCGTGTGCAACACGCAGCAGCCGGGCTGCGAGAACGTGTGCTACGACGAGGCCTTCCCCATCTCGCACATCCGCCTCTGGGTGCTGCAGATCATCTTCGTGTCCACGCCGTCGCTCATGTACGTGGGCCACGCCGTGCACCACGTGCGCATGCAGGAGAAGCGCCGCGAGCGCGAGGCCGAGGAGCCGCCCGCCGAGGCCGAGCGCGCCGACCAGGGCAGCGTGCGCAAGGGCAGCGGCAGCAGCCAGGGCGCCAAGAAGTTCCGGCTGGAGGGCACGCTGCTGCGCACCTACCTCTGCCACATCGTCTTCAAGACGCTCTTCGAGGTGGGCTTCGTGGTGGGCCACTACTTCCTCTACGGCTTCCGCATCCTGCCGCTCTACCGCTGCAGCCGCTGGCCCTGCCCCAACGTGGTGGACTGCTTCGTGTCCAGGCCCACCGAGAAGACCATCTTCATCCTGTTCATGCTGTCTGTGGCCTCCGTGTCCCTCTTCCTCAACATCCTGGAGATGAGCCACCTGGGCCTCAAGGGCATCCGCTCGGCCTTCCGGAGGCCCGCGGACCAGCCGCCGGCCGAGATGCCCGAGAAGTCCCTGCACTCCATCGCCGTCTCCTCCATCCAGAAAGCCAAGGGCTACCAGCTCCTGGAGGAGGAGAAGATCGTGTCGCACTACTTCCCCTTGACTGAGGTCGGCCTGGTGGAGACCAGTCCCCTGGCGGCCCAGCCTTTCGGTCAGTTCGAGGAGAAGGTGGGCGCGGGGCCGCTGGCGGACCTGGCCCGGGGCTACCCGGAGACGCTGCCCTCCTACGCGCAGGTGGGAGCCCAGGAGGGCGCCGGCGAGGAGCCGCCCGCGGAGGAGGGAGCGGAGCCTGAAGTCGGGGAGAAGCCGCGAGAGGGCGAGAGGGCCACCCTGGAAGGGCAGGACGCGGTGGCCGTGCCAGACGGGGACAAAGTCGAGACCCCCGCAGTGGGAAAGGAGGGTGACAAAGAAGAGCTGCAGGCCGAGAAGATGACCAAGCCGGGGCTGTCGGCAGAGAAGGCGCCTTCACTCTGTCCCGAGCTGACCGCTGAGGAGGCCAGGCCCCTGAGCAGGCTGAGCAAAGCCAGCAGCCGGGCCCGGTCAGATGATCTGACCATATGAAGTGAGGCCGAAGACCGACACCCCTCCCCAGCAATACAGGGCAAGATGAAACAACGAGGTGCCGACGTCCTTTGAGTCTTCTGTCCCCTCTGGTCACCGCTGTCCCGGGCTGGACAGATGCAGCCATTTTGGAACAGTGCATGCATGAGAAAACAGCCTCTCCCATACACGAGCACTACCAGGATGGACTCACTGACAGCCAAGTTCCCAGTCCCATGACTGTCCTGTCCTATACTCCAGCGGCCGCGGGGGACTTCGCTTTGATCCTCATTTCTCCATGGAAACCCTTCCAGTCAGACCTGTGGTTATACATAGCCTCTTCTCAGTCCTGTCCCAAGCTAACTCAGCCAGACTTTACCACCACAGCACCTCCCGAACACCAGCTGACCGCGGATCTGAACTGGGAAGTAGGGCCTGCTCTCCTGCCTGCAGAGAGGTGGGGCTGTGAGAGTTGAAGAGCAGGGCCAGCTGCCGGTCAGTTCCAGGTAATCATCACCTTGCAGTGTCACCTGGTCATCTGATTTCCCAAGAGAAGCCAGAAATTCAAACTTGTGTAAATTGAAGTTTCCAAAAATTTTTAACATTGGCAACTAAATTGTAGATACAATACATGGGTCAAATGAAATGTGTGCAAACCAGATTTAACCTGCAAGGGCACCAATTTGCAACGCCAGCATACATTAGTCAGCCCAGCTTTCCTGTGGAATTGGTCTCATTATTTATGGTCTCAACCCCTTTTTGTAGCTTCCAAATGTCATTTCAGCACGTGGGAGTGTGAGTGTGAGTCCGCAGTCCAGGAGATGCCCTGCGTTCATACCATTCCTCGGGATCACTGGAGGCCCTAGGTTCTGAAAGAAGGAATTTGGCCCTGAATGCCGTCAGAGAAGGAGCAAGAGGCTGAAATTGCTCCCGAGACATGAAAAGGCTTTAGGCTTTGAGGTCTGTTCACAGTTTTGTTGCCTGAAGCAACACTTTGTTTTGTTTGGTTTTAATTTTCCTCTCCTAACACCAGTTCTTAGCCTAAAATCTACACCTTCCTTCATAAGGGGCAAAGAGGAGGGCCAGTTCTGAGCTGGAGGACACCTACTCGCAGGCCTGTCCTCCCAAGATCAGCTCTCAGGTCTTGCCTAGCACAAGGCAAGTACCCAAGGAGCCATCAGAATAGCAACTGGGGGACCTCTTACCAGGTGGGCGCGACAGAGGAGAGGAATCTTGTAGTTCTCCTGCCCTGTTTCCCCACAACCAGCCCACCTCAAACCAGAACCCAGTCAGGGGAAGTCCTCTAGGGAATTCCTGTCTCACACTGGAGGCAGTTTTACCTGGGGTCTGTGGATTTCCAGAGCAGAGAGAGAAGTGCTAACTAAGGTGGTCTGTGTAAACCAAACCAAGGCTCACGGACTTCAGTGCCAACCAAGGCGTCGTAGGTGCAGAAACCAGGTCCACAGCCGGGAGCTGGCAGGAGGCCACCGGAGGGCCTGAGGAAGTACTTTAAAAAGCCTGCCTTTCTCCCCTGCCCACATGGAAGACCGTGTCTTGACCTTCCTTGAGGAGGAAGGGGCATACCTAGAAGAGCAGGGGTATGCTTTCCAAAGCAAGCCTTCTCCCACAGTACTCCTCCCATGACAAGCAATATTCCCATTTCTTGTGTCTCTTTCTAAAGCCAAATGGACTAAAAATCAAATTCATTCTAAGATGAATTGCTAGATAATTAGTCCTTGGAAATTTGCATTTGAAAGAGAAAACCTAGGCCTCTCTCCATGATGGAGGGATGTGCCTTTATTTTTTCAGCTCTGACAAATAAACTGTCTTGTGTGTAAAAACAAGAGAGAGAGAGAGAGAGAGAGAAAGCCTAAAACATATTTCACCTAGGAAACTCAAGTGACAAACTTCCAGTGGAGGAATGTATCGGGCAATGCACAATTGAACAGCCGTTATCTTACAGACATGTGACTTTCTGGCGACTGCTTGAACCTGACCCCTTGCAAGTGACATTATTCCAGCACAGACCTTGCCACATATGGGGAGGGAAGTATCCAGGAAGTATCTCAGGTCTGAGAACCAGAGGGTGCATCCTTGACTGCAAAGACTGCCCTTTTGCTCCTGTAGTTTTTCTTCCTTTGTTTCCATGTTAGTGGAAGTTGTTTTTGTTTTTGTTTTGGGGGTGTTTGTTTTGTTGGTTGGTTGGTTGGTATTGGGGATTGAACCCAGGGGTGCTTAACCACAGAGCCACATTTCCAACTCTTTTTTTTTTTTTTGAATTTTATTTAGAGACAGTTTCCCACTGATTTGCTTAGGGCCTCCCTAAGTTGCTGAGGCTGGCTTTGAACTTGCAATCCTCCTGCCTCGGCCTCCTGAGCCACTGGGGTTATAGGCGTGTGCCACTGCCCCCAGCCAGTACCAGAAAAAGATGTCTATCTTAATATGACTGAAGACCAAAAAGAAGAAGAGAAAAGAACAACTATGTCTTTTTCTAAGTGAAACTGCTGGTGCTATTTGGAACTAGTTGTAGAGCTATAAGGAAAAGCCGCTGGTTCCCTTCTCTGGCTAGAACGTAAGTGTGTGTGACTGAGTGTCTCCTCCGATGAAGCAGCATCTGCTTCAGTGCCTGTACCTGCTCTGCCCCACACAAGTTGCTGTTTTCCCTCTTAGTCTTCCCAACAAAAAGGGGGAACCTGTTTTGGAAGAAAGAGTCACAGTTTTCAAGGGACTGGGATTTTCTTTCTATTTCTGCCATTTAGTAGCTGTGTTGCTATTGTCCCTTAACCTCTCTATACCTCAGTTTTCTGTCTACAAACTAGAGATGGCATTTACCGCCTACCTACCTCCAGGGGTATCGTGAGGACTGTGCAGTTGGCGGCCACACCTGGAGCCTGCCAAGTGGTGCCACGCGGTGAGAGACTCCTCCAGCAGCAGGAGGACGGGGGAGGAGGGGGCGGGTGGTTCCCACTGCCCTCCTCAGTGCCCGGCAGTTACTTGGTGAGAGTTTTGGTGTGCAGTAGACACTCTGGAGATCAGTTTTCTCACAGAAGACAAAACAAAATCCTGACTCCTTATGTTTAGTAGGAACCAGAAACTCTTTGACCCTAAGAAACGAGTGAAGACAGGTTGGCAGACATTCTCATGTTCTGGAATAAGGTGCTGCCCACCTGCTGCCCGTCTCCATTCCGAGGCAGCTGCATGTCTGTCCTCTGTGTAGCTTACTCTTCAGCGTCTGACTCGGGATTATAATCCCATAAACTCCTCTAGGGCCAACTTTAGTTCCTTCTCCTGGTCCGTTCCCCTTTGGGTAAACCCCGGGAGCTCGTGGACCTGCCGTGGACAGCGGGACAGCAGGAGTGTGGCTCCTCCCAGAGGAAGAGGCTGATGGTTTGCAGCAGTGATAATGCCTCCTTCAGGGAGATCTGTGACCAGAAGAGACAGAAGCACTCAAGGTTCAGTTAGAAGGTCTCAAGCTCAGCTGAGTGATCCCCAGCCTAGCGTTTGGGACATTGTGAAAGGGCCTGGCCTCTCCACACAGGTGAAGCCTCCAACACAACATTGGATAAATGTCACTCAAGGTCACTGGGATATGGGGACCCACAGAGAACCCTGACATTCAAATCAGGAATGGTGACGGCCCCTTTCTGGACTCGGGGGGTTCCCCGATCCCCCTCTCTGCTCTATGTGACAGTTTTCTCTAGATTAATTGGCAATAATAAATCCTACTCTCCGTCACAAGACGTCATAGGTCTTTTTCAAAAACTCACTAATTTGGAAATATGAGAAAAGAAGGCAGTTTCCACATGTGTAAGTCCACATTGTGAACTGCATCCTGAAGCCATGACAATGACCCCTTCTAAACACTGCACAGATCGACTGAGATACGGATAAAAATGGGACGGTAGATAAAATGAGGGAAGGAGACGCGGAGGCAATGGTAGTCCTGAGTTCCTCACTGGGAACAAAGAATACTTCCAATCGTGTGAGAATTGTTTGTGGAAAGTGATGCCAGAGGTCCTCAGCTTGTCGGAACCCAAGTGCAGAGATGGATCCTTCCCTGAGACAGTCTCTGATTCATGGCAGAAGGGAGTTCACAGACCCCCAAAGAGATTATGCAGGAACCCTTCAGTCCACACCCTGTGGGTGGCCAAGAGCAAGACCAGTGCAGGTCACCCTCCTCTCCAGTTCCCCGGGAGGATCATTCAGTGTGCACAGGGTAAGAATGCCCAGGACCCCAGAGCGTCTCACATCCACTCCCCCCCAACCTGCTCCTCCTCTTCCCCTGACCCTGAATGACCTTCCCACACATACCGTGTACAAATGATTGCACAACCCAAGTTAGAAAAGTCTAGATTTAAAAAAAAAAAAAAAAAAAAGTTTTGCCGGGTTGGGTGGGAAACTCCTCTGAGTGTAAATACGATCTGTGAAACATAGTGAGTGTGTGCCTCGAAGTGGTAGTGAAATAGATGGGGAGATTTTCCCTTCTTACAATTATTGTTCATAACTAAACGTGTTGGGGGAGGGGGAGGAGGAAAAGGAAAGGAAATTGTCAGTTAAGCAGTTGGATAAGAAGAAAGAAAAAAGTTTTTAGGAAAGGCAGCTCCTTCCCTGCTGCTTAGACACCGCAGGTCCCAAAGGCAGAAGGAGGGCGGCCTTCAGCTCTGGCAGTAGCTTCAAGTAGCAGAGGCTCCTAGGGACCTGCTGTGTCTCCGGCCCCCAGCCTTCAGGACGCGTTCGAGAGCAGTCAGAGGGAGAAGTGGAGGGCTCCGCGGCTTCTCAAACAGGAGAGTCCAGACTCAGCTAAGAAACAAACTCTAACAGTCTTCATGGGAACTCTCTGGCCAAAGAGAGGCATTCCGGGATAGTGGTCCTGTATTCTCCACCCCTCCCCTTTTCCTGTACCAGAGCTAATAGTTACATGTTAGATTGTTACAAACCAAATAAAACTAACTTGATTTTAACCTTCTTTGTTTGTTCTCTTGACCTATCAGCCGAGCTCCAAAGTGAAGAGACTGCCTTGGTTTCCAGCCACTCTGGGGAAGGGTGGGGAGGGGCACGCTGGTGAACATTCAGGGTAAAGAAGTCCTGGTTTGCAGTGTTTGCCAATTTCTTGGTGTGAATTCTCCCACCATTACCAGTTCTGAGCTTCCAACGTAATGTCACTGAATGCAGAGTTGGGAACAGACTTGAAGTAGCACATGAGTGAGGATTTCTACTCAGTGGCTATGCAACAGACCTCTAGACTGTACAGTCTGAGTGCCCCCCAGGAGTCCATGTGATTGGAAGCTGGTCTCTAGCACGGGGCGTTTTGAGAGACCATAAAAACTTGAAAAGGGGAGGCCTAGTAGAAGGTCCTTAGTCCTCAGGTGGTTCCCGTTGACTCCCGTGTAGTTGTAGTGTGACTTCTCAGTAGCTCTCACGAGAGGCGGTTGTAAAAGGAGCACGTCTGGCGCTGCCCGCCTCTCCCTGCTGCCTGGCTTGAGATACACCTGCCGACTCCAGCACCTGCTCCCCCATGGCCGTCCACCATGGGACCCTCCAGAACTGAGACAGGGTAAGCATCAGACCCTGAACCTCCAAAACTGTGAGCCAAATAAATCGTTTTCATTATAAGAAGCCGTTGTCAAGCATTTGTTATAGTGAGGAAAAGGTAACCATATCTTGAAGATTATAGCTAATAGAAAAATAATCAGGGAATTGTAAGCTTTAAGTACTTATTTCCTTTGTTCCATCATTTTAAGTTTACATTTATATAATTTGATTGTTAATAATGACTATATGAATAAATGACTCACAAACATTCCGGAAAATTTAGCAAATGACTTACCAGCGAGCACAAGCCAACCCCGACACACCACTAGGTGGGATAAGAGGGGTCTGTTTCCAGAGGAACAGGAAGACTCTCCTGGTCAACAAAGATGTGGTCAGTTTGTTCCCTCTCTTTCTCTACACAGATCCCAGGAAAAAACAAAAAGCATATTGTTCAGCCTATATAAAGAAGCAAAAGAGTCAAGTTTATTCTCCTTTATGTCAATGAGAACTTTAGGAAGAGTTGAATTTATTCATTAAAGATAAAAATAAACGTGGGCCCGGGGTTGTGGCTCAGCGGCAGAGCGCTTGCTTAGCACGGGTGAGTCACTAGGTTCGAGCCCCAGCACCACATAAAAATAAACAAATAAAACAAAGGTATCATGTCCATCTACAGCTGAAAAAATAAAGGTGAAAATAAACTGGACAACCAAACAAGACTAGCCAAAAATCTTCTGCCTGGGATTTATCATGTCACTGTTTGGCTCAAAATTCTTCAATAGTTCTTGACTGCCTACCCAATAAATTCTAAATCCTTAACATGACTTGCAAAGCCCTTTATGACTTGCCATCCCCAGATGAGATCTGCTCTCACCTGCCCAGAGTCATCCTCCCTTCTTCTCCAATAGCAGCTCCATTTTAACTATGGGAACTCTCTCCCTCAATTGAATATAATCTTAGTGGATGCTTATATTCATCCAGTTGTCTCTGGTAGAGGGCCAAGTTTGTTTGTTTGTTTGTTTTTAATCCCAATAGACCACTCAAGACACACTCCCTGAAATGTGAATCTTAGGGGAGTAAGACTGAAAACTGGTTGGAATTCATTCGTCTTGGCAGAAACCCCTGAAGAAACTCACCGTCAGTTCCTGCCTACCTAAATGTCCACGGGATGTCGGGTTCCTCTTTTTTCAGAAGATTTTCAACCTTCCTTCAGTTTGCTTTAAAAAAAAATAAGATAGGGCTGGGGCTGGGGCTGGGGCTGGGGCTCAGTGGTCGAGCACTCGCCTGCTATGTGTGAGGCCCGGGGTTTGGTCTCAGCACCGCATATAAATAAATAAAATAAAGGTCCACTGACAACTAGAAAAAAAAGTATTTTAAAAAATAAGACAGTCAAAACTCATCTCCATTGCTTACCAGCAACAGCCCCAGATTAAGATGCCACCTTTGCAGTGCCTCATCTCCCGTGTCCCTTACCATGATGTGCCTCCGGGGTAGGCAACCATCATGGGTCCCCAGCATGGACAGCTCTGGCACGACGCCACAGATGAATTCCACATTATTTCAGGACGCTGTGCTGCGTCCGGCCGTCCTCCCTCATCCATCCATGGGCAGTTCCTTTTTACCCTTCAAGACTCAGTTCCAATGTTTCCTTCTTCATGAAATTTCAAAAGCATTCAAGACAAGCTAGCTGCTGCCTCTCTGTGAATTCTTCAGTTATCTCGCTTATCCAATTGTGGCTTGTCTCACTTCTGACTGCAGGTGACTGAGAGGCAGGTTCATCCCACATGTCCCTGCGAATGCAGTACTGAGCACAGTGGCTGGGACAGAGTGACATTTGGTGAGTGAATGAATGAGGCACTGAGATAGCTCCAGGCAGAGCCAAGCTCTCCCCAGGGACAGAGCAGACTGCCACTGCACAAGAATCTATCTAAGGCCCCAGGAGTCCCAGTCTTGAAAGAAAGCCAACTTTAAAAACAAGGGAAGAAAAGGATATTTTCACAATAGCTAGATTCTGTCACTGGGAGCAATGTCAGATACCACATATTGAAGATGGCAGCCAGATGTTACAGAGGCGGTCACCAGGACAATTTTGGAAGTCATTTGATGAAGTCACACTTTGAATACTGTAGATCAGAGGACTCTCCTGTCCCCACCAATTTTCCCATGAGTTGAACTTTTAAACTTTGCATGAAATAAAAAATAAACTCTTACTGTATCATTCCACTGAGATGTCAGACCTGTTATTGTATCTGAAACTATCTTATCAATTTACAGAAATTGATACAGTGACGTTAGGGATGTCTATCCAAAACCCTAAAATATGTGGCTTTGGCTTCAATAAGTAGTGATGAAACAGATATCAAAGATTCAAGGATAGAGTTCCTCACCATGCCATGCAAATATTTAGTAATAAGATATATGTATGTGTACATACGTGTATTTTACTGAATATATATGTATGATTACCTATGATGATTTTCATACTGTACAGCAAGTTGCTCTAAGACTTAGTGGCTTAGAAAAACACTAGCATGTGTTATCTTTGAGTTTCTGTACATCAGGAGTTCTAGAGCATCTTGGAGATCTCTCATACGGTTGCAATCACATACTGATGGGGTCTGCAGTTACCAAAGACTCGACTGCAGTGGTGGGATCCAAGTTGAAGGGACAGCAGGTTGCTCTGGCAAGTTCATTCCCCTCCCTTGGACCTCTCCGTAGGCTGCCCGGGTGTCTTCATGACCTGTGGCTGGTCATGCTGAGCAAGTGATCCAAGAGATCAAAGCAAAAGCTTCAACATTTTTTTTTTTTTTGGTACAGTGATTTAACCCAGGGGCACTTTACCACTGTTATATTCCCCATCTTTTTTTAAATTTTGAGACAGGGTCTCACTAACTTGCTTAGATCTCACTGAGTTCCTGAGACTGGCCTGAAACTTGTGACCCTCCTGCCTCAACCTCCCATGTCATTGGGATCACAGGTGTGCACCATGTGCCCAGCTGCTTCCGTGTCTTCTACGACTTAACCTTGGAAGTCAGGTGCCATCACCTCCACAGGACTCCACTGCCCCAATGACCACGGAGAGAATGAACTAGAAGGAACTAAGATCACATGTCAAGAGAGCAAGAAGATCGCCGGGCGCTGTGGCACAAGCCTGTGATCCCAGCGACTCCGGGGGCTGAGGCAGCGGGTTCGGTTCAAAGCCAGCCTCAGCAACTCAGCAAAGCCCTGAGCAAGTTAGCAAGACCCTGTCTCAAAATAGAAATATAAAAAGGGCTGGGGATGTGGTTCAGTGGTTAAGCACCCTTGGGTTCAATCCCTGGCACCAAAAAGAAAGAAAAGGAAGGAGGGAGGGAGGGAAAGAAAAAGAAGAACATATCATGTTGGCATCATACTTCTCCATAACATAATAAATGTCAGAAAATCATAGAACAGGGCCGGGGCTGTGGTCAGTGGTAAAGCACTTGCCTGGCACGTGTGAGGCCCTGGGTTGGATCCTCAGCACCACATAAAAAACTAAATAAATAAAATAAAGGTGTTGTGTCCATCTACAAATAAAAGAAATCAAAAAGAGAATATAACATCTACAGGATACTGAAGATGAAAATCTAAACCAAGAACTGCACAGCAAGCCAAATTTCATTTATGGGTAAAGCTACTCTCAATTATTAAAAAAATAACTTCAAAGAAAAAAATATTTTCATGACCCACTCAAGGCAAAAGAGAAAATTCTTGTTAAAGAATTAAGAGGGCAAGCTGAAGCAGAGGCACGCCTGTAATCCCAGCGGCTCAGGAGGCTGAGGCAGGAGGATTTCAAGTTCAAAGCCAGCCTCAGCAACTCAGCAAGGCTCTAAGCAACTCAGTGAGACCCTGTCTCAAAATATACAAAGGGGTTTGGGATGTGGTCCAGTGGTTAAGTGCCCCTGAGTTCATACTGGGTACAAAAAAAAGTCAAAGTACGGAAGAGGCTAATAATGATGCATACTGAAGACATTTAAACACAAAATGAAGTAAATATAACTGTTATAAGTATAGTCACAAGACAGAATACAAATTTCATAAATGATTCTTAACACATAATTTTTAAAGTTTAAAATCCCAGGTTGTACATGTGTAGACTCAGGAACGCAGAGGCGGAAGGAGTAAGGAAGAAGGAGAGATATGGGAAAGCAGAGGTGCCCTGGTGTTCCTGACTCTCTCTGCTAGGAAGGGGGTGAGGGGACGGGACAGAGAGGGAACAGGAGAGACAGCAGGATAGAGACCACAACTTTCCCAGCCAGGGTAACTCGGCATCAGGTACAACCCCGCGACTGGGAACCTGACTGAATAAGTCATGCTTTATGCATGTATCTTCTGCCAAAATACATTCTACTGTCATGTGCAACTAAAAATAAAAATGTTTTTTAAAAAGAAAAACCATATATGTGTGTGTGTGTGTGATATTAAAATAAAATGTATGCCTTCTAAATTATGAAGGGGGTGGGGGTACAGGGAAGGGGCCCAACTCCTCCAGCCATGCCCCCCCTGCCTACAGTCACCACCCAGTTAACATCCAAATGAAGATGGACTGATTAGGTCACAGCTCTCACAATCCATTCATTTAATCTATTTCACCTCTGAATATTCCTGCATTCACACCGGAGCTTTTGGGGGACACCTCATATCCATAGTCCATGCCTAGGGTATTTAAAAGAAGGGTAAGGTTTAATTGAGAGGGGCACTCTTTGAAGAGAGTTGTCAAAGGGGAAGAAAGCCTTGTGGTGTCCCCTTCGGCACCCCCTGCCTCCTCCCCCTAGTGTGAGGGGCTCAAGGAAGACTCTTGAATTTTCTGCACTAACAGGGAAGCCCGACGGCTTCCCCACAAGCCATTAGCTGCCTACCAGACTGCAGCTGTCTGCAGGCCCAGCTCGGCTGCCATGGGAGCCACGCTTGGAGGAGCTTGATGTGTGGCTCGGAGTTTTCCGGGACATAGACACAGTGAAAGGACTATGTTGAAACCCTAATCCCCAACGTGATGGAGAAAACTGTTTGGAGAAGTGTAACTTTTGGATCACATTCTATGCCATATTATTTTACTATAGCAAACAATGCACAAAAAAGAAGCCCCAGAAAGTAGGTTGGTTAAATCATACGATGCAATATTATTGAGTTAATGAAAGTGTTATAGTCTTTATCATGAGAAAGTGTTCACGATATACTTCCAAGTGAAAATATATAACAAAATATTATACCCATCATCCTAGTTAAATTAACATGACAAAAAACCTTATACTAGGTGGTTATTTCTCACAGCTCTGGAAGTTGTATGTCCAAATCATGGCGCCAGCCTGCTGATTCTTGGTGAGGGTCTTCCTCCTAGCTCATAGATGACAGCCTCTCACTATGCTCACATGGCAAAGAAAGGGTGAACTCTGGTCCCTTTATCTCATTACAAGGGCACTCATCCCATCTTGGGAGCTTTACTTCCATGACTTCATCTACATCTAATTATGTCACGAGGGCCCCACTTCCAAGCCATCACATTGAGGATTACTGTTTCAACAAATAAATTTTGGGGGACCCAAATATTCAGTCCACTAAATTTATTGTCGTGCATTTTGGGGAAAATGCAGAAGTGTATGTGTGTGCATGTATCAGGGTAACAAATAAGAAGGGATATCTCAGACTTTGAAACATGCTAGCTTTACACTCCTTTGTGATTGTCTTACCAAAATCCTGGTGGTAAGTCACAGCCCAGTGATTCAGTTGGGGATTTCTCTAAAATGAATGAATGCCCCTGTCATTAGTCATTCTAGGGAAAGGTTAGTCCTAAAACAGGAGGTTGTAGGAGACAGAGAGAGTTTTCTGCCCTACCCAGGTGTAGAGGACAGGTGACTCAATATTTAGAACAATTCTTATGGTAAGAACATGCACATCATAAATTTTATTTATGAACTTCAACTTACATATTCAATTTGAAATTTCATCTCTATATAGTCTTCCCTTTTGTTCACAAATTATATGGGTCAAAGTAATTCTGCAAAATTATATTTAATAGGCTCTCCCAGTATTCTACACTATCACGCAACCTTGAATGTTAATAAGGTGCAGCTGTGTGGGGTTTCCTACTAGATGTAGCCAGAAACACAAAGTTCTCTGGTTTAAGACACTCCATAGTAAGGTTGCCTCCATAGCTCCCTTGTGTTCTGGACCAGGGACTGGACATCTGATAGAAATTTTGGCTGCTTGATAGGGTAAAACTCAATTCAAAGAAAAAGAAACACCTTCCCTTATATGTAATGAATGTTATTCTCGGGTATTCAGATTATAGCAGATCTGAATAACCAGATTCTGGATACCAGGGATCCCTTGAGGCCCTTGCAGGTCTTGATTGCAGCCTGGGCTGGACAGTTTCTGAGACAGTAAGACAACAGGGACTACACGCACTAGCTAGGGCTCTGGGGCGGATATAGACTGCACGGCAGTGCATTAAGCCTTCACGAAATGAGTACTGAATGCACAAAGTGGTAAGTCAGTCCATATTTGAAACACTGTAATAGGGTGGATGTTAAGGGTAGGGGTGTTTCATACTCGATTCCTAAGGAATCGTTTCTTGTTTTTAATCTAAGTCTCCATTAACTTCCAGTTGTTAGCCTTACAACGCTCTCTTGAGGCCTCCTGGATTCTACTCTTCTCCTGGAGACAGCTGTCTTCAACCCCCTCCCTGCTCACTTGGCAGCTCACCGCAGCTCACCTTGGAGCACGCTCTTGGAGGTGCTTGCCTTTGCACCAGGGCCAGCGCTCCCCTCCTAGCTCACCCACCTGGACCTCTTGCCAGGTGACACCAAAGCGCAGACTGCCCCAGTGGCGCTGAGAACCGGAGGTCACCCCTCCCTGATGCAGAGGGCGCTGTTCCGAGCACCCAGTGCCTGTCCGTTCTTCCCTCACGTGTGATTCCGCAGTGATAGCTGTGGACCAAGTTCAGGTCAGAGCATGCGGAACTCCGGGCTGTACTCCGGCCTAAGTCACGGCAATGGGGTATGCACTGATGGACTGATTTTGCAAGGCCGGGCATCTCATCGCATTGGTCACGACATTACGTTGAAGAGAATGAGCATTTAAAACAAGACCGGCCTCGGCCTCAGAACCGGACACGGCCCAGCCTTCCGCTGTTCAGTCCACCCTAGAACTCGCCCCCTGGGGCCCAGCCACCCACTTAAACCCCGCCCCCTCGGCCGGCCACCCCACTTCAGCCCCGCCCTTTCAATCCCGCCCCCGTTAGGCCCCGCCCTCGGCCGGCCCTCCCGGCTAAGCCCCGCCCCTGGGCGTCGCGCCCGCTCCGCCCACTCTCGACCTGAGGCGGAAGGCTCGGGATACGGAAGCTGATTGGTCGGCTGCGGCGCAGCTGGATGGCGTCGGGCCGGAGCGCCGCAGTCCCCGCGGCGGCCTCCGGGCGAAGGCTCGCGGCGTTGGTGGGCCGGCGGCCCGAGCGGTGGTGCCCTGGGGAGTGGGAGGGGAAACATGAACGCTCCTGACGTCTGCCATGAGCTTCCTGATAGACTCCAGCATCATGATCACCTCGCAGGTGGGTCTGCACCCCGCCCGGCGCCTCGGCCTCCTTGGCGGAGTGCCCCTGGGGCGAGCTGGCCGCGGGCCCTTCCTCCTCGCCGTCGGTGCGGGCAGTGGCGAGCCCTCTCACGGGCAGGGGCGGCTC